AAAGAGGAATCTCAATGGTTGCAATCGTTGGTAGAAGCAGCCAAAGGGTTGGGTCTCCATCTTTTTGTTTCAGTTTTGCTTTTTTTAAAGCACATCTCGGTTTTAACTGCATGCTTAAGTTTATTTTTTCTTTTTGACTTTCATTTCCAACTGTTGTCTGGTTAAATGCTAATCTACTCTAACCCTTTGCTGAATTTTAATGTGTATTTTTTGCATCTTTTTACTGCTTTATTTAGGAGTTGTAAATCACCTTTGCTTTCACTGTATGGAAGTCGATGGCAAAAGGACTCTCCTCTGAGTAGTGAAAGTGATCTAATTTGATTTACATTTATATTGGATTTTTACTGCAAGGATTTTGTATTCTATTACTTTTTAAAAGCTCTGGTCTTATTTCTTTTAACCTCTGATGGGAACTTCCCTTTTTTATTCACTTTTTACAGAGGAAAATAGTCTCAATTTTTTTCTGGTCATTCTGTTATGGTTCATCTATTTTTCCCGTCCTCGAAGAACTATTTTCCTTTTGTTGTGAAAGATCTTAAGAACTTAAAGACGACTGATGGAGATTGGGGAATAGACTTGTATCCAATCAGAAAACAATTGTCAAGAGATGCTGAGTTTTAACTTATAAGAAGATTCTTTGAACAAATGCTGCAGAGATATTTACAAGGGATTTATGACTTTGGGGAATGAGATGCAAATGTTGGGAAAGATCCCAGTAAAAAATTTAAGAAAATGTTTTATCATTAAGAATCGATTGGGGATATTTGATTCTGAACAGAGAAGAGGTAATGATTACAGCAGTTTATGGCAGATCAGAAGCCATAGTTAGCTTTCTACAAGGATAAATACAGTAACAGATTGTTAACAATGAGCTTCAAAGTGTAACTTTGCTGTTGGTTTCACTTGTTAACTATTTTTTCTTAGTGTGTGTGTGTGTGTGTGTGTGTGTGTATTATCAAAAACCTTAGTAGATATTTAGATGCTAAGATGTGTTTATATCTACAAATTATGCAATGGTTTTTTTCTCTGTTTACTCAATGGAAGTTGAATAAACGAGGCAGAAATATTGACTTTTGAACTTCAGGATTAGAGAAGATGCCCGAAAGTATTATTGGTAGCCAAGAAAACAATTAAATGGGTCATCTAGTTCTTACTTTAAGCATAAATGACCAGCTCAAATAATACCTTGGATATATTAAGCAAACACACTGCCTCCCTGGCTACCCCACTGGCTTAATGCCCTTAGGTACAGAGGATCCTACCATTCTTTGTGGAATCAAGATGAACTGTCAGTTTGTGTGTGTGTAAACTGGAGGGAGGCACCAAAATATCCTGAAAAAACACTGAAATAATTGTCTTGAAAATGGCTCACATCTAATTTCTCACTATCAGGAGATCAGATTTTTAGCCTAGCATATATTGGGACTCTAGCTTCTAGATTTGGCCTTTGGCTATGCTGAGGAAATATTTAAAGAGCATTCAAGACTCATTTATACTAATGCTCAAATATACATATTATTGATTATGTCTATATTAGGAATCTCCCTAAGTTCCCCACGTAATTCATTGAAAACTGTTTTCATCCACAACCAAGAAGTTTGATTCAAATAAGAGGCTTAGGTTTTAAAAAAAAGATTTAATACAGAATGGAATTCTTACATTACAAACATTATTTCCATTAAAAATTTAATCAAACAGTGCAACAGAAGATTGTCCAAACAGGCAATTTTCAAAAAGACTGGACATACCTTTTAAAAATTTGGCCTAAACATTTTAAAGTGCTGGCCTAGAAACCAGGTGACTGTAAATTCTAGTTCCACCTTAGGCATGAAATCCAGCTGCATGACCTTGTGCCGTGCACTCTGCCTTAGCCTAACTCACCTTACAGAATTGCTGTTACGAAGAAAATAGGAAGGAGTATTCTATATGTTCTCTGCTTTGACACATTTATAAAATACAGGCAGAATAAAAAAAAACTAAAGAGTACCAAATTCCTTCCAATATTCCTCCAAATACAAAAACACTATATTCTACTTCTGAGAAATATTTTTAATGCAAATAAGTACTAAAGTTGCTGAGTGCTTTTCAACTAGAGTCTAAATTGCATTATTTATTTTACCATCTTAGAAATCAACTGTTATCATCCTGGTATGAGTATCGGGTAGGCTCTGCAAATTGAATTCAAACCCGTTGAATGAGAAACCCTAAAACATCCAAAGCAAAAGGATTCAATGGAGTGGTTCCGTTGTGGAAAATAGCTTCCTAAAACTTAAATCTATTATGTGTGTCCTGCATTTTATCATGATAGAGAACAAGTCTAAATCTATCTAAAAATGTAGCAACAGCAACTTTTCTCAAAGGTTTGAAAATGGGTACAATATCGGGAGAAGTTATATAGAAAATGTAGAATGGTAATAAGATATGGAATGGAATATAAAAATGAGCATGAATTTGAATCTGCACAAAGAGATGTAACCCGGGATCAGGCTGCTTTAAAAAAAAATGTTTTATGTTTTTATGTTCTATGTTTTGTTTGTTTATGTTTGTTTTTAAAAATCAATAAAATTTTCAAAAAAAAAAAAGAAAAGAAAATGGGTACAATATCATTACTTCAGAGTTGATTTCAACTAAGATGTAATATGATAAATATAATGTGATTATAGGGGTAGTCTTCACGATCACATTTGGGCCCAAAATTTCCAGTTAAATAAGATGATTATTAAGTGAGTTGTACCTAATGTTATGACCTTTTTTGCCATAGTTGTTGAGCGAATCACTGTGGTTGTTAAGTGAGTCCTGCAGTTGTTAAATGAATCCAGCTTCCTCCATTTACTCTGCTTGTTCGAAGCCGGGTGGGAAAGTGATCACATGACTCCAGGACACTGCAACTATTGTAAATGCATCACAATTGCCAAACACCTAAATTTTGATCATGTGACCATGGGGATGCTGCAATGGTTCTAAGTGCAAGGGTCAGGTCATAAGTCACTTTTTCACTGCTATTGTAACTTTGAATGGTGCCTAAATGAATGGTTGTAAATCAAGAACTACCTGTAGTTAAAGTATCTTTGCTTGATGTATTCATTAATAAAGCAGCTCTATTTGGATCAAACTGCAAATTCAGCATTAGAAAAGCTATTTCACTAAGCACAGATTTAATTTCCTTATATTTGGATTTGTAAATAATATTTGATACTACTGATCATTAAATTTATTCAAACACATTTTCCTTTAGATCAATAAGACTTGAAATTTCTTATAAAAAGCTTTCATACTCCAAAATTTTAGAAAATATGAAATTAATTTTTCAAAACTATAACTGAAAGTATTTAGTCTGAACTAGTATTGGTGTAACTGAAAGCATCAGAGGGTCCTGAAACTTAAGGATCAATGGCATAGCAAAATATACTCATTTTTTCCCCTCGTTCTTTCTTGCCACTCACCACTGAGTATCAATCAAATACATAAATGAAATATACTTTAAAGATAATTTGAAATATAAGAACCTAAATGCCATTAAGAAACAAATTTGAATGTAAACAGCATTATTTAAAACATTAAACATTGATTTGTATTCAGCTTTGGTAATGTATAATAATGTATAATAAAATTCCTTTATAAAGAAAATAGTTTTAATATTTGTCATTACATAAAGACCCATAACAATTAAGGCAATGCTCTAACAGTGCAAGAAGATTTGTCTTTCTACAGACAGGAAATTGTCCAGGAATATATAATAATTGATGTGTGTATGTGTGTGTATAATATATGTTCCAGCTTTTTACTGGAAAACCAAGGCATATATGAAGTCCCCTGTGCATCATGCCCAGCCACATACATTGGACAGGCCAATAGAAGAATAAGTACCCGTCTGGATGAACACAAACATGCAGTAAAAAAGCTGGAACACACTTCCTCACTAGTCCAACACATGAAAGCCACAGGTCATAGCATCAACTTCAATGGCACCAAAACCCTAGCCACTATAGAAAACCCCAGCCACAGAATTATCAGAGAAGCCATAGAGATTGAAAAAAGACCTGAAAGCATGAATAGAAGAGATGATTCCACCAGACTGTCAATTATTTGGAAGCCTGCACTCACAAACAAAAAAATCTCCACACCACAAGCCAGGCAAACACCTGGGCACAAACAGATCCCCCCTGATACCTCCAGCTCAAACACACCCCAACCAGGCACCCAGATGAAACCTAGCTTCCTAACAAATGATAGCCGTCCATTTACTTGGAGCCAAGCTGCACTAAAAGCCTCCAATACAGGAACACAATGTTGCCAGCCAACCAAGACAAAAAAAGCCACAAAACAGACAGAAGATATTAGAAACACCAATCAAGCAGAACACAGCAAACTCCAAGACCAATAAACACAGACCAAGACTCCCAACCAATCAGGATGAAGAAAAAACCATTCTGGCACAGCAGTAGGCTAGCCCCAAATTTAAAACTGAAACAACTGTAAAAGTCTGACTCACAGACGAACACAATACAGAAGCCTGATGATGGCAGATGAGATTTTGCCGAAACGTTGCTACAACTTTAAAAGCACAACTATAATGACGTGGGAAAATACCCGAACAAAGCTGAATACCATACATGTAAGTACCCGCGAAAACTTAAGAAAATATATCTATCTATCTCAGTGGTTCAGGTGAACCGGTAGTAAAAAAAACAGCTACTGGTTTGGCTGAATCAGTATTTCTTTTTTTCCCCTCCCGACAATCAGCTGTTCCAACAGTCAGCTGTGCCGGGATTCCACTCACTGTTGCTTCGCCCAGGAGACAAAAAAAATGGAGCGGGGGGAAGGGGGTTGCTGCAAAAAAACCAACAACCCATGCCCACCCAGTCACAGGGCCACACCAAGCTACGTCCACAGAACCGGTAGTAAAAATATTTGCATCCCACCCCTGATACACACACACACACACACACACACACAATATATATCATTTATCATTATATATTATAATATATATTGTGTATTATATATATACACACACATATTTCTATACCACTGAAATAGTTCACAGCAGCTAAATGTTCATACTACTAAATTAGGGAATCATCATGCATAGGTCAACTTTCTTTTCAGTGAATTTCCAATATATGTAACCTATCCAAACTTCTTGTAATCAGATTATGTTGCATAAAATATAGGCATGTGCTAAAAATAATATAGTGTTGAGATTACAACAACTACATTTGCATAATCACAGGGACCATCAACCATTTAGTGACCTAAATTATCACTTTTTCAAAACATTGCTAACACCTATTCAGGTTATATAATTTTAACAGAAAAAATATACTGAAAAGCTTTAATCTCGTTCTAACCCAAGTTTCTTCAATTTGATTTCATGCTATACAAAGTGTGTGCAGATATGCAGAATACAAACTGATAAGCCAATCCTATGATTTGAGATACCCACTGGATTCTTATTAATAATCATCAGACTTCCTATATATTTCCTATATGTGTACAGTTCCTATACATTTTCAGCATACAATATGAGCAATATATGCAGAATCACATATATGTTTTTGAGTGCAGTGTTACTAGATTCCAGAAGATAAATGCTTTCATTAAAAAAATATTTTGTCTGAAGCATTATTTTCTTTACTGTATATTTAAGTAATAAAAATATTCTTTGCTTTATGGTTGCTTTTCCAAAGGCAATTTTGGAGGAGTCAGACCAGCTTTCTTGAAGTAGGAGACTAGTTGCTTAGGGATTTCAGCCAATACTGCCTGGGAAAGTGCTTCTCGAGGAGCCTATGAAAAAGAACATGTATTACATAAAGACATGAATGCTACACAGATATAAAACATATTATTTTCCATGTAATGTTTCACACTATGAGAAGAAACGTAACCGAGAAAGTATATAAAAACAGGAAATACCATACAAGAATAAGCAATGAAATGCCCAGTTTTCGTATACCCAGAATTAGTAAAAGGGAGTCATTTTAGTTAAAAATAGTAAGTTTAATTATGCATTTCCAAAACTTTACATTTTACCATACCAGCATTCAAAGCAGTAATTTTTAAATTTCTTTAAAAAATTGGGTAAGAAAGCAGAAACAAAAAAACAGTTGTTTTTAATCCAAAGACTGCAAGCAGATTTTAAGCAGAATTCAAAATTAAATCTGAATAACACTGGAATAGTTGCAACATTTTTACCTACCGTACTAGACACTAACCATAGTAAAACAGAATAATAAATATAGACAAGGAGCTCAAATTTCTGATCCAAAGGAAGAGGCCTTCTTATGCTGTTAAATATGGCTAAGAAATGGGCAGAATTAAATCTGTTACAAGTTCCTGCCTCTGGAGAAAAACCAGTATGTTAAAAAAAAAAGGTTCAATAACCTTCTAGAACTCTGAGTTGGAGCAGTGTTTTTACATTTCTTGATATAAAATGTCTCACACAGTTGTTTATCTTGATTCACAATCAACACTGCTGTTTGTAACTAGAGTAGAGAAACTTGTGACTTTCCAGATAATGTGGACTTCCAATTTTAATTTACTGAAGAGTTTAATCATTTACTTAATGGATCAATTTAATCTCTAGGCGGAAAAGATTCTCAACCCTTGGTCCATATTCTTTAGTTACTGGTAGTTTAACATCCTGAAAACAAAATGCAGCATAAAAGCACATAAAACAAAATAAATGAATATGGAAACTTACATTTTGGAACTGTCTAAAAGGCACAAACTGGACAATATCTCGTGCAACTGGCTCCCCTGCCAATGACTTCAAAACACCATCATCCCCATCCAAAAATTCCATGGCTTTGAACTCAGCACTGCCAACACCAATGATTATGATAGACATGGGCAGCTTGGAAGCATTTACGATGGCTTGCCTAGTTTGATCCAGATCAGTTATTTCCCCATCTGTGATTATCAGTAAAACATAGTATTGCTGCAAAAAATTAGACCAATCAATAAAAATTAAGTCAATAAAGATTCTACTTTTAATTATCAGTTCTGATATCAATAATTATGTTCCGGTTTTGCTTTGTTTAATTTATTTTAGAGGACACTCAAAGAACTGTCTGTATTTTTATATGAGTTATACACTGGTCTGATATTAAGATATGGATACGTTCTTTTTAGTAATAGCTTCTACTTTATAGATTTTTTTCTAAATAGATGTGTCTAGCTTCATCTTTGGAAAGGGAGTCTCTTGAGGTCTCAAACTCATGGCCCAAAGAACAGGTACAGCCCATCTATGGTTCATACATTCATCCTATCTTGCCTTGAACAATCTGCATTCATGCATTCACTCATTTGCCTCCAGTGCCTTGTTCACAAGCCTTCCATGAAAGCCTGAAGGGCTTTTGTGGAAATTGGGAACAAATGGACATGGATCCTGAACTGTCTTCCTCAGGCCTGAAGGGCAAGACTGATGAAAAGGCAACTGGAGGTTAAGCCTGGCACTGGCACTCAATTAGCACATAAGAATTCATATATAACCAGGCAGAAGAAGTACAGAAATGGTTAGGAGAAAATAAGAGACAACTCAGTCTTGGGAAAAGAGAAGGCATGAGAAACAGGCTCAATACTCTCTCTCTCTCTCTCTCTCTCTCTCTCTCTCTCTCACACACACACACACACACACACACACACACACACACACACACACACGAGTCTGGTTGATTCAAGAGAGAAACTCTAGCAGGCTGTCAAAATTCTTATTACAACCTACAATAATAAAGTAGCATTTATATAATCCCTATACTCTGTTTTCTACCTTGGCCTACTCTGAAGCACTGATAACCGCTAGGCTAGAACAGATCCGGTCATTACAGGGAGAAGCAGTGCTTGTTTGGGATGATGAGTTGTGGCTATTGCCCAATTACTAAAAAAACCCAGAAGCAATGGTGGCAATTCCCCACTTATCACAGGGAAGGATCAAGATGAAGTCACGTGAGGCTGCCAGGGCTACAGCATCACCTCAGTGCTAGGTTGGTAGCAGCATGTTTCATATATGATAGACATGACTACTCCGGGCTGCAGATCTTTCATTGATTTCTCCTCCACAAACTAATTGGCAAAATAAAGCAGAAAACAGTATCATTCTTTGGTTCTCCCCAGATCACACATTTCAAACTTGGACTTTGAGATAAGAAAGTGATGAAAAAGGACATCTCTTTCTCCAAAGGAAAGGAAAAAAGAGCAATCAAAAGAAAAGATTTGTAACACTCTTCCATGCAGAATTTCCCCAACCTGTCCCCATGGAAAAGATGACCAGGGATTCACTGGAGGGTTTGTCCTGGTGAAAGAAATCTCAATGCAGTTAGGAAGCTTTCTATGGAAGAGGCAGATAGGTAGGCAATTGTTCCTACAAGAGCAGAGCTGAGAAGAGCCTTTTTAGGAAGTCAGCTGTAATAACTGGCTGAGATTTCTGCCAAGGATTGGACAGTTGCTTGATGGCAGAAAATATCTTAAACTTATTCCACTTTTACTAAAATAGCACAAGGCTTATATGTTTAATCAGAGGATGTGGACAGGGGTGGGTTTCTACCAGTTCTGTCCACCTCTATAGAACCAGTAGCTCTGAAGAGCAGCAGACATAGAACTGGTTCTATGTCTGCTGATGTTTTTGCTCACCCGCCCACCCGGGCTCTTACCTGATCTTTATTTCCTGATTTTTCAACTTTAGCTGCCAAACGAGGCACAACTGCAGTTAGAAAAGCAGGAAAAGAGGGCTGTTTCAAAGGCTGCTGTCTCTGCAGGCAGCTGCTGATGACAATTTACAGGCACAGCTCACAGCCTGCAGGGAAGCTTGTAAATCCTGAACCGGTAGTTAACCCTGTCATATCCCACCCCTGGATGTGGAGGAAGGAAAAACAGATGTGTCTCCTTTGGAAACTGAAGCTTTTCTTCGAATGATCTGTCTTCTCTGGACAGCCTGAAGGCTTTTAATGGTGTGGAATTATAATGGCCAGCATCCCTCAACTTTGGCTAAGGCTACTCAAAGTTGCAATTTATCAACATCTGGATGACCATACAGATTAGGGATTAAAACACAATTATTACATGTAAATAACTTTTGTATCAAAGATTTTTTTTGGTGTGGTGGTCCTTGAACCATGTTATTCTTATGAAGCATTTGTGACAACTTGGAGCTTCCTAAATTAAAAGTAAATGTATAAAACAAAACAACATCAAGCCAACTCACAGCAGCAGTTTTTTCTTGCGCTGAATGAGCAGCAAATCTAGCAACATGATTTATAATTGGAGAGAAGTTTGTTGGACCATAAAGACGAATCTGAGGCAAAGCCTGTCGATAGGCATCTATAATTCCTTGGATTCCTAAAACAAGGAAATAGCAGAATTACTTTAAAAACTTCAGATATAGTATCATAAACATTTTTCAAATCTTTCAATAAAGAAATGGGAGTAGAAGTCTACTTGAATTAGGTTGGTTATTTACCTATATGTCTATGGAGATTCTCAGTCATCCAGGTCACCAAAAGTGCTTTTAAAGTCCAGTTGCCTCTTGAAAAAGCACCTTTGGGATAATTTACCTATAGGCAGTTCTTGGGTTATAAAGCAATTGAGACTAGGAACTTCTATCACTAAGTAATGCAGTTGTGAAGCATGACATAATGTAATTGTGTTGCTTAGCAAAGGCAATTCTGGCAGTCCTGATTGCAGTCATTAAATGAAGACTGTGTGATGTACATGATTGCAATATAGGACTTCCTGCCAACTTCCCATTGATTTTGCTTGTTAGAAGGCAGCAGGGAATATCAGAAATAGCTCACTGTGATATAATGAAGAGACAAGTACCCGATCACAATCACATGACTGCAAGGAAATTGGAACATCCGGAACTCCAAGTCGTTGTCATGAGTCACCCTCATTCAGTGCCATTGTGAGTTTGAATGGCCACTGAATGAATGGTTGCAACCTGAAGATTATCTGTATTCTCATTTCACTCACTCCATTAGCATGGTGGTGAAAATACCAAATATTTCATCTTTTAAGAGGAAAGTCATGATAAAAACATTATTAACAATAGAATATTGTACTAGGAGGTTGTGATGGCTATCTTGCCTAAAGGCATGTTACTACAAACATGTCATTCAAAATTAAAAATTAAATTCTTACCTAAAATATGTAATTTTAAGAAATTCTCCAATCCAAAATATATAGTTTAACAGATTTTGGATAGTTTTCATTTTATTTCTAATTATTTATCCTTCTTTATGTTGAAACTGTTAACAGAATGGCTTTTATAACTTTGTTTATGACAATATCATTTTAAAAAAAGCTGACTCTTAAAAAATCCCAAAAAGTGAGGCATGAAAGAACTAAAATGCCTTGAGAGGAAATTTCATCATCTTGCCAAATAATAAAAAGGATTCTCTCACAGATATCAGCCATATTTCAGGTGGTGTGGGAATAAACTTTGACTTGGGTATTGGGTAATGATTAGTCTAAGACATTATACATACATGTCTGCCTAAAGGTCACTGAGATAAAGCAAGGAAATTAAAAGCAAACACTAGAAACAATTAAGCAGCTCAGACAACTGTAAACAAGTCTGTGTACTATATCTAATTATTGTAATCCACATTGTGATTATGCTTACTATGTACTAAAATCTCAATAAAAGGGAGCACTGGAATTTACTCTGGGCTCCCATCCCGAGTACACACGCTTGTGTCTCATTCTTTCCATGGGAGACCACCACAAGGTGGCAAAGTGGTTTGGAAAAGGCATTCAAGAATTATTTCAGTGTTGGATAAAATTAAAGGAGACAAGTGATTTGTGTTGCAAAAGAGCAACACAAAAAAGCAGTTATCAACAAAAATTAACTACAATAATACTTCAAAAAATTCAATTAAAACATCAAAGAAGGGACTTTGTCATCAAAGAAGACTTTGTACCAGCCCAAACAACATAGTTGTTGTGGGGAAAATAGGAGGAGGAAGGTGTGTTGGATGTGTTCGGCAACTTGAGTTATTTGCAAAAATGATAAAGGTGGGATACAAACAAGCAAACAAACAAAAAACAAACAAACACCAAGTTCATTTTGCCTCATAAAGAATTCCAGAAAATTTGAAAGGTTTTCTTTTTCGGTGAATTAAAGTTATTGCATTAAATTGGTTAGACTGCATTCAATACATATATCACATACATTCTGTATTAAATTATTTAACAAAATTCAAATTTTATTCTTTTAAATACCAGTAGGTATGAGCTAAAACAAATTATTTCTTGGCTACAGTGTATAATAAACTGGAGCTGCTTCCATCCTAAGCAGTGAAAGATCCTGTCTTATTTTTTATAAACTAATTGTTCCCCAATTTCACTAATGTTTTATCCCAAACCGAATGTTATAGAAGCCAAAACTTTACTATAAGGTGAAATCATAATACTATTTACATTCTTTTAAACAGTGAATAAAGATTTCTAAAATTCAGATCCTTAGATACACTACAGTACTGATCATGCCCAAATACTGATTGTCCTCAAAACTATTATTGTTCCTGTTATTTTTAATGAAAAAAATCCCTTGTACCTTTTTGTTCTTTCTTTTTAAAATATATTATTATTAGAAGAAAAATAAGTGATTACCTTGGCAATAGGGCTTTGCAGGATTAAAGTTCAATGCAAATTCATGGGAAACCTGAGAAGACAGACATATTAAGACATGGAATCAAAGGTAACTAAAAAATTATAACAGTAATAAAAGTTAAGAAACCCACCTGCCAATCTGGAGGAACTTGAGCTCCAAATCCAAAGGCAGGAAACAGCTTATCCCTGAAAATCAAAAATACTGAGATCAATATTTTTTATTTTGTTTAGCTACAGGTTGAATAAAATAAATCATATTTAACTTTAATTTGGCCAAAGCTAACTGAAGTACATATAGCTGTAGCTAGCCTGATCTTTTTCTAAAGTGGTAATGTTCAGAAAGCTAGGTTATAAGTTCAAGTCTCTTTTAAACTGAAGAAGAAACGGCATTCTAATATTCTTTACCATACACGAAGTAATAGTACTTCTTTAAATATGGTTCACTCATAACTTTTATAATACCATGTTAAACACACAGTGCTATTTTATGAGACAGTTGATTAACAGTTTTCACTCAAAAAGAACCAATAAAAATGTCAATGGCACAGTAGACAATGAATTAATCTTAGTATCAAAACACGTTGGCAGCAACTTTTAGCTCCATTAAATAAACTACCAGTTAAAAGGAAATATAGTTTATAACAATGGACCTTTGGGAATCTTTCTAAGCTTTAGTAAGTAAATAAGCTAAAGATGGTAAGTTTAACATACGTGTCATAATCCTGGATCACACCACCCACACACCAGATAGCAGTGAGATATTCATTTATCCCATTTGGACTAATATGGTGAAGAGAATCTGGTGACTTTGGATCTCCATTGGAACCAGTAAAATCTATCCCTACCTGATAAGAAGAATAAGAAAGATAAATTAAATATTAGATAATATAAGAAACAAATTTCTACTCAATAACTTTAGGTTCAGGAAAACCCAGCTGCAACTACAGAATGCTGCTAAAATAGCTTCTGAAAAACCAAAGGCAAATTAAGATGAGTTACTAACTTCATAGACAAAGGTAGATTGGTTGAATATATGTCAAAAATACTCTTGGTTGTATTGTGGTTAATTATAATGAAATTATGCTACACAAAAAGTATATTTAATTTTACTAAATGTATAAAACAGATTTAGTAAATCATAGTCATTTCTTTTTTTTTTTTTTAAACATCTTAGCAAATGTTACCATGCAATTACTATTTAGAAAAATATAAACGCTGGAGCTTACAGTTAATCTAGAAATCAAATACATGATTTGATACTCACAGTGAAATTAATTTGGCAACCACCCATGATATAATCCAGGAATGAATATTCTGTTTCAATCTGTGAAAAACAAAACCATTACAACATTATAATTTTTACCTTATGATGACAGAAACGTCAACTGGATGAAATGAAATTATTCATACCTTACAAGATTTCAATCTAACAATGCCAGAGTTTTTGTAACTCTTCTTTTTTCTTTTTTTTTCAGGATGAATACATTCAAATTCAACCTATATGAAAGGCATACATACAAAATCAGCTTATTGATCAAAGTAATCAAGTAACACTTTAAAATGAATTGGGAATAATTCCTCTGGTAAATCCAAATTAATTTGGAAAAAATAAAGATAACTAGGAAGAACTTCTATATTATTCTTTCTTGACGTATAAAATATTCTGATAGTGGAAAAATACAAATGTTAAGATCATTATATGAGCATAAGAATGGGGGATGCTAAGTTCCTTTACAAGGTACCAAGTTACAACTGCCAGTTTACAAATAGCCATGGTTCCATGGTTTGTTGGAAATTGTAGTTCAGCATCAGCTCAATGCAACTGCTAGCAGAATAACCTGCATAACTAATACTTAACTTAATGAAGACATAAGGAGCTGAAATAAGTAGCACTAGTGAAGCCAGAACACTGAAGTGGACACTTCTTAAAGAATGAAAACAGAAATTTTGTACTAGTGTCAGATCCAGTTATACAGACTATTCTAAAGGTGCACCTTTTAACAATTTGGATTTGTTGTATATTATAATTACTCCTCAGACATTTGAATCAAAAAGGAATGAATTTAATATGTATTTTGCACTGCGACATAAAGGCTTCAAAAATGCCTCCATCTTTATCATTCGCCATTCAGGATGTATAATAAAACTATCTGCCTGGCCAGCAGATTCCTGTGCCCAAATACAAGTATAGTAGGAAATTCAGTGTTTTGTTTTACTCTTATTTCAATAGAAAAATAAATAAATGATTTTGATCTGACACAGAATTTTCCTGAGATACAGAATATTGAGTTGTAACAAATCATGTGCATTTAAACTAAATTTCAATAGAGAATTTCTACAGTTATCCTCTCAGTTTGTGAATCCTCTGGGAGAGCAGTCTAATATAGACAGAGTATTAAATATTGGACTCCCAATTGGTATAGCAGAAAACTAATGAACATTGAGAAGTTGCTCACTGGAAAATTAAATCTATATTATAAATTACTCGATTATTATGCTATCTTTCAAGTCAGCAGAAGATTAATCAGCATGGAGCAGAAAATTTGTATTCAACTAGAGAAAATTTACTAATACTACTGCTGCAAGCAACTCAGCCATATAACTGCTTTCCTAACTCTACCAGTTTTGATTCATAAGAATCAGAATGTAAAACATATATAACTTGTTTTTTCCTCCATAAACACACACATACAATCATACATCTGCACAAAAAATATTGGGAGAATGAAAATAATATTTTATTATGCTTCTTGGAAAAAGAATACAATAATTAAATAAATCAAATAGAGTAAAATTAAAGGCTCACCGGAGAACTGTCACCTGCCTTCTGTAGCTGGGACAGGGTACTTTCAAAACTGCCTATTAAATCATGTGACCCATCACTATCATAATCATAACAGTGCACCTGAAAGGAAAGAAACAGAGAGCAATAGACAAGGAGAATGACTGCTGCTCACCACTTGATCTCTCACTTCCAACAGCTTTGAGGTGTTGCATATGAATTCCCCTATCAAGTCTGAACTGGTGTTGTCATCCATATCACTAACTGCAACCTAATAGTAAGAAAGAAACCCCAAAATGAATCCTCAAGGACTACTATGTAATATCATAGTTAGGTGTTTACTATGCAAAGGGAAGGCAACTCAGGATACAAAGCATATTTTAAAAAATATGCACCACTGATCTAAGAATCAATTAATCCAATTACAGAAAACAAGCATTCAACTGGGAACAAAATACAGAAATGTTAAGTGCTGTATGTGCCAGCATAAGCAGTAATTCCTAGTCTGATGCCCTCCAGATATGTTGATATACACTTCTCAGAATATTGCTGGCAGAAAATGTCTGAGAGTTATAGTTTTAATAAATCTGAAGCATATCGGATTGGGAAAAGATGGCATAGGCAATATAAGGTCAAGATGAGTTTTAAACAGAACTAAAATATAAGACACTCAACAGCAAATAGATGCATGAATTATACAAAATATGACAAGACTGAACCCCACAGTTCTTTCTATTTTATGAGAACATCCATTCATGCAGAAACTGCAAGGCTCATACTCAAAATAATCAAACAAAATATGACCTGAATGCCCATGTTAAATTAAGCATAAAATATAAAAAAATCTGGAAATCATACAGATATTGTTTTGTATCAGGGCTTATAAGTTATTTGAATAATGCTGATATCTTTAAGGAAAACACATCTTATTGTTCTTGCTTACTGTGATATATTAACACTACAGGGCTAGATTTTATGTGTAGTGTTTATCAACATGCTGTAAATATTGTATAATATGTTCATCCTAAATATATTTGCTTGTGATCAACTTTTAATGACACATATTTTGAACTAAAATTGTACATGAAAATATCACAGACCAGAACTAAAGAGGTCTGGGAACCAAAACTTAAAGGCAAAATCCTTTAAGACAGTCACACTGATAGAAAAGACCAGACACTTTTCACTAGATACAAAAGTGGTAAGTATTCTTTGCTGCTACTTTAATAACAAAGCAAAATTCAAAAGTAAAGGTATTTTTCCGATAAGGAAAAAGAATGCATCTCAATAATTACATCAACACCTACATCATAATTGCATTTTACATCATATAACCATTAATTAATTAAACTCTTTACTAGCCTTCATCTAGTGTCCAAAACATACAAACTTCCTTACATTAACCATCTGTTTACTAATGATGCTAGATTCCAAACCTTTGGATAATTAAATTTCCCTCTGAATAAAGTGGAGGACAAAATCTCTGGAGGACCTATAAAATAATAATAGTGATTCTCAGATATGACCTATGGACTATCAATGATCTGTAAACATCCACCAAGTGCTACTCTACAGCTTCCCCATATTCTTGAGCTATACTAGCAATCATAAGGCACATGTGGAAACTTTCAGCTAGCCAAATTTTGCTTATTACTTCTATATGCCACAGTGGTGGGATTCAGCCAGTTCCCACCAGTTTGGGAGAACCGGTTGTTAACTTTCTGAGCAGTTTGGTGAACTAGTTGTTGGAAGAAATCATTAGGGCAGAGAATCGGTTGTTAAATTATTTGAATCCCACTGATATGCCCCACATGAGAATGGCTGAAAATTGATTCACTGAAGAGACAAATGATAATACAAGTAGCACTATGACAACTATACTAACATTCAGAAAGTAAACCACTCTCAAATACAGCTCCTAAATGTGACTCTGCAAATGTTATGCTTAGTGAAACTGCAACTCCCATGAACAACCCCCAAAGTAAATATACACAGAAAATGCAATAATGAGTATCCAAAAGTGGGATTTATATAGGCTGGAGATCTACTAACTCCTTCCAGTCAGTGTTTACTGACTCAGAACACTCAGAGATTCCTAGCAAAGAAAAGATCATTCTTCACCATTAAGTTTCTCCTCAAGTTCTCTTTTTAAGGCATGGAATATATACACAGTGCTAAATAATATTTTAATGAAAATTAATAAGCAAGCAATGAATATTTTGGGATATAAAATTTAGTTTAAATGGGCCCTTACAATGGCAAGATTGGCAAAGCATAAAAATGCAACTATATCCTATTCACCCAAAAAATGTTAACTCCAATATCCCTATAGATGGTAATGTAGGAACTACATTGCTTGTTTAATTGGGTATCACTGCATTTTCCAGATGCTGAGTATTAATATTCCAAAATTTACTGAATACAATTGTGCTATTAACATCTGCAAACTTAAGAGCAGCCTTGTACAGCCTTAAGAGCAAATTTCCTTTGTTAACCTTTAAAGCAGGAGTGTCAAACTTGCATCATCACAGCGTCATGTGACATATGGCAACTTTTTCCCTTTTCACTAAACCGGGTGTGGCCAGTGCATGACGCATCTTGCCCACAGGCTGATAGTTTGACGCTCCTGTTTTAAAGGAAGCTAATCTATTAATAATTAGAGACAGATCATATGGGGAGAATCTACTTAGGTGGTTACTGAGAATTGACACCAATTTGATGGCATTTATTCAATCAATCTACTAATACTACTAACAATAGTTAAGTAGGGTTACTTTGGATTGTGGTAAGATATAATAGTTTTATGTTTCATGGTTATTATAAAACTAAGAATAAAAGGCCCTTCTCCATTTATGAAGCAACCATCTAAGAATAAATGGTATGGAACATTTGAAATAAATAACAACTGAGACTATTCTTAATAACTACTTTTCTTTGTCTATGATCTTCTCTCAAGCAGCCTTAACTAAACAGGAGAAACTGCATACCTCTAAGTTTTTTTTCTATAGGAGGATAAACAAAGAACATGCTGTTGCAAGAAGGAAATACTATAGAAAAAGATTTTAGTTCATGGTCATCACCCATTCAAGAGGAAGAAGGAACTCACTGTATTTTTTAGCATAAGCTTATCTTAACACAGGACAGCTATGTATTTCTAATCCATCAGTTTCTTATTTCATCCAACCTTCTCATGTCTACCTCTTCTGAATGTTTTCATATTTTTGCAGCTTTTCTCCCAATAGAGAAAGAAATCATAGTTTAATTCTTTCAACTTATGCTTATGATGTATTACTTATAAACACCATTATGATTCATAATGCTGTATTAATATGTATTAGTAGCAATCTTAAATGATTTCTTCTACATAAAATGTCAGATCCTATCCTATAGCTTTTTTACATTCAACCCTGGGTTGTGAAAGTTGAATGGTGGTATTAAAATCTAAGTTAAAATCAAAGGTTGAAATGTATTAATGTCAAAGAGACAGGCCTAGCCAGGAGGAGGAGTCAAATAAAGAATTAGTCTAGAATCCCTATGCAAGCACAAGAGGATAAATCTAGCTCCCCCTCTTCTTCCCATGCTGTTGAATCTTATCTATCCTAAACCAGATACAAACCATCAGTCTGAAAAGATTCCTGAGTATAGGCTTCACCAATAAAACAGCTGGTTGAATTCTTCATGTGTGGATCTGATTGTTTGTACCTGACAATTAATGACTAGGCTTTTAGTTGACTCTTCTTATGAACATCAGCAAAAGAAATATATTGGGCAGTTTCATACACTACTTTGAAATATAATTTAAAAAAGTGATTATGAGTTTTGCAACCACTGTATTCTAGAATGTTTTGACATGAGCATACTGGTTTTATAAATTAGATGATAAAATCTTATGCCAAAACATCCAAATAGGTATTTCTGGTATATTCAGGTCATATTTTCATATCTTACCACAATCAACAATATGTCACACTTACTTTACAAAACGCAAGCTCATACTTTATGTCTTCATAATCTTGGTCTTCAAGAAAAATACATTTCTTAAGAGTAAATACTAAATAACAACAGCATAATCTTTAAATTTACAGATTATCCTCATTTAATAACTGCCTTGGCTAGCAACTGTTTGCAGTATAATTGTGATGAAAAAGTAACTTTGTGACCAATGCCCACATTTGCAACTTCACAGAAACTCTGTCAAACGTTTACCATTATAACCACTAAGTAATTCTGTTGTTCTATGGCTGACTTGTTTTTCCTTCCACTCCCTCTTGCAGAGAGATTATCTAACAAGCTATATTTCAACAGCACAGCTGTCCTAACCTCATGCTCAGTTCTTTGATCTCAATTAGTTGATTATATCTTTCCCACTGCTGCCTGATACTGTCAACACTCTAATCACACTAAAAAGCTTTTGTTTGCTTCCTAAGAAGCTCCTGCTTACAGTCATAAAAGGACTAGGCAAACAGCAGGTTAGCAAATTCCTTTTGATGTGTATTCCCCACTGTATGCCTGCTTGTTCTCTTGCAATCCCTTCCTCTGCAATGAATCTACATCGAAACATTTAATTCACTTTTTGTTAATTATCCTAGTGGTGGGTGAGCATTCATAGAGTGGGGGAGAAAAAAGTGGTGGTTGGGAAGGGCTATAGAATTTGCTCTTTCACTCAACTTCCTCTTGAGTTGATATTCAGAAACCTTCCCTACTGTTGGTCTCATCCAGCTTTTTACCGTCCTATCCTTCTGATACTGTATTGCCAGTGGAAAGCTAAAATAAAATTGAAAGTGCAGTCACAGTCATGTGATTTTTCATTTAGCGAACACTTTGCTTAATGACTGAGTCACAGGAACCAACTGCACTCTATTACAGATATTACAAATTATACTGAATGGTCTTTTAAAGCAATCGAAAGCAGAGGGGGAGGGAGTACTAGGATATTTCAGAGAAACAGATGAAAGTGGAGAGAGAAGCCGTTTGCTTTATAAATAATATGCCAATTAAATAAGTTTTAATTCTAACTCATCTAAAAATCAGGCATCATATCAGAACAAAAAATGAATTTAATAAAATGAGTTTATAACTTGTCTGAGATTAATCATTCTCCTCACCTTGATTTGTCTGTTGAAGTCACCACTACAAAATGTTTGCAAAGGTACGCTGAACTTTTTCCAGCAAGGATTTAAATTGTTCTTAATTACCTAAAAATATTTTTAAATAGTTATTATCAATGTATTATGAAAGCACATGTTTTACATATTTGTATATCTCTCCAAATATTTTGTTTTTCTGTTCATGGTCACATTTGTCCAAGACAACCACAAGGTTACCTTATAGTCTTATATTTGTTGTAAGCCTCTATGCGAGATGGGTGGCATGTAAGTTGAATGAATGAATGAATGAATGAGCAAAATAAAGTTACCATTTCTTAAATTACTACATTTACTTCATTTCCAAAGTCATATTTAAATACATTTTCAATATGTGCTTCAATTAATATTTCAGTTCCATCCTGGATGAAAGTTGAAGTTGGGTAGACCTACAAGATTGCTAGAGCAAGTCTGTGAAGCCTTCTTCTATAACATCCCAATTGATTTGTTTGTTGTTATCCAACCATTAACAAACTGAGTCCAAAAAAGTAGACAGAAACCTACTTTGCCTTTGAAAGGTGGCCAAGTATAGAAGTGAGATGGCAACGAGAGGCATTTCCCAAATCAATTGAAGTATCTTTTTATGAGGTAGGAACTCTGCACGAAGTGCTTATGTCTGACCTCTGAAAATAAAGAGTTGATCTATGCTTTGGAAATAGCCTGCCCAAAGCAGTCCAAACATTACCTGGAGTTTATACGATAGGCACTTAATTTTTTTTCCTTTTAAAACTGTAGAGTTTGCTTGCCTGGAATATTTATAAATAATTTCAAAAGCTTCTTTGCACTTACAGTTTGACTGAAACCTATCCTGGCCCTTCCCCATAGTCAAGCACTGCTGCTGGCCCTTGCACTTTCCAGATCAGTGGTCAAGAATCCCTGCCCTCATAATCTCACCTTGCACCAAAGAATGCAAGTGAGATAAACAAAGATGGTAGAGGTCACTCTCATCCCAGAAAGGCATTTTATGTAAGTCCTGCATGCACCAAGGACTTTTACTCTTCCTTCTCCTTTTTATTGTCAGATTTGCAAGAGACTGGAGCTTCAGAATAATAAAACAAGTGTGAAGCAACGCAGAAACTTTTGAAGGAACATGGTAAATTAGAGAAAACCATTCTACGTCACAGGAAAACAAACATCTGTCCAAATGAAGCCTATTTGTGAATCTGAAACCCCACCCATCTTTATACATAGACCTGTAACTCCCCATTAATATATAAGAACTCTTTATGAACTAAGGTGGAAGTGCTGGAAATCTTACCTCTGATCGGTATACAAGTTGCCATTTTCCACTATCACTCTGTTTATAGAATTCCAAAAATGGGTCTGATTTGCCTAAAAAGTCCTGTATTGGGAAAATAATTTTATACAGACATAAGAACAATAAAAGATTTCATCTAAAGCAATACACAAGTAATCCTCAACTTACAATTGTTCATTTCGTGACCGAAGTTACAATGGCACTGAAAAAGTGACTTATGACTGTTTTCACACTATGGCATCCCTATGGTCATGTGATCAAAATTTAGGTGCTTGGCAACTGATTCATATTTATGATGGTTGCAGTATCCAGAGGTCATGCGATCACCTTTTGCAACTCCTGACAAGCAAAATCAATGGGAATCCAGATTCACTTAACAACTGTGTTACTAACAATGGCACTGATTTAACAATTGTGGTAAGAAGGGCCATAAAATGGGGGCAAAACTTAATAACTGTCTCATGTAGCTTCAGAAATTTTGGGCTTAATTGTGGTCATAAGTCAACTAGTCTTTTGCTTGATTTCTTGTTTGAAATTTTTTAAGGAAACCTTAAATATTTTATTATTATTTTGTTCTATTTTGTTGATTAAAATATTACCTGAGTGTAATAACTGAAACATAATTATGATGGCTTTTTTATTCTCTTTAGGAGTTAGTTCTTTTCAAGGAAACATTGAGAAAATTAGGCCTATGTTATGTTTTAGTAGATTCAATGTACAGTCATTTCTTCCTTCATCTCTGTCTTCTTCCACATCTTAATTATTTCAATCTATACCTATATAAGGGACATTCAGGCTGCAGTTGTGTATAAAAACTAGTTAGTTATCTACCACCAAGATTCAATGATTTGTGAATTCATACTTGTGTGATCTGCACTTGCACAGAACAAGCTTCAAGTTGTTGAGATTTCTGGGAAAAGAAAGAGAGAGAGAGAGACAGAGCTCCCCTTACTTCCAATGACTGCCACTGAGGCTTCAAGAGGAACTTCCAAAGGATGGCTTATGTGATGGGACCAGAAGTTACTAAAGACAGCACTTACTGACCCAAAGGTTAAGTTTATAATGCTTCAAAAACATAAAAGCTGAGCATCTGCATATCTAAAGCATGCAGAAGGCACTGAGACCACTCTAGTAAAATTGATTAGAATAAGGCATTGTTGTTTAGCTAGTTTATAAGCCAGAAAGTCTTCACTATTCTTTTTAAGAAATTCTAAAATTATGGTCTCATAAAACTGAATGCAAAAATGTGGCCACAGACACTGAACATACAGTGGTACTTTAAAGTTGCAATGTTCAATATTTTGGTACAAATATGACCTAAAACGTGAACTGTTCTCCACACAAATCCTAAAACTAGATAAAGAGAACTATATAAAGATAATCCAATTAAGCACCATGGTATGTGTTTTGCCCTCCTAAATATATTGTGAACTATAAAAAAGAAAGAGAAGGAAAGTGAGGGAAGCGCCCAATCCAAGATAATTATGGCTGACGGGGTGGGTGGGTGGGTGGGTGGGGAATACCATACAGATGGTTTTTCTAGTGAAAAAAACACAAAATTCTAAATTATGACAGACCTTTTCCATTATTGCTGTACTATTTAGCACAGTTCATCCTGGACATTCCATGGGTATTAAAGCACCCAGTGTTGTTTGTTCTTGGTGCAGGTGCAGTGAAAGGAATCTTGGCACAGTTACATGCCATTATTCCTCAAAAGACAGAATCTTTTTGGGGGGGACAGCGTAATCGATATTAACTATGGATTCAAGAGTACTGTCACATATTAAGTTGTTGTTTCATCGTACAAAAAGTATTTGGCTTACTTGCTGCTTATTAACAGGAAGTCTACAGAAGGAAGCTACCTCGTGTCAGAGGCACTATGGTACTAGATATGTGCCCGTTGAATCCAGTTTCCACTTACTCCTAGTTACTTAGGGAAGGAAAAATTAACTGGAATTAGCCAAGGAATCCTGGGAGTGCCTTTTGTCCATGCTGCTGACAATGTCCTGTACCAGATAAAGGGAAGGATACTTTTCTGCTATCTGACATAAGATATTGATATGTGGTAAGCCAGCAGCATGGAAGGAGGCCTCTTTTATTAAAATACTAATAGCATTAGAATAATATATGGTAGAAGTACTGCATACACACAACTTCAAACACCAGGTCTAGGCCTGTTGTTTCACTTCCATGTTCAAAGACTTATCGATTGCCTCCTCTGAAAAAAAAACAACCCAGAAAAACTCTGATGGAAAAATAGGGGCTTGTTTCCAACTTTTATCACTAGTGAGTCAATGTAGACTACCTCAGTTCTAAGATAAGTGATTCTGACTCAATACATTCTGGAGGTTCATTCCTGGCTAGACGTTAGACTCAGGTGGAGGCTGATTAAAGTAATTTCCAAATTAAAGTAATTTCCAAACTAGAACATAACTGAACTACTAGATTTTTTTTTACACTTCTTTTTACCTTTTTGTCTAAATTCCGAGCTTCAACCTCAATTGAAACAACTCTTGTATCTTTAATCTCTTCTGCACAAATCTGCAGGTTGAAGGAAATGTTGTTTTAGTAATCTTGGAAGACACCTATTATTGTAGAATATATATTTAAAAATTAGTTTTTAAAACCATTGACAAAACCAAGCAATGGATACATCATATTAACTTAACTGAAGGAAAAAAATGCTTGAGATACATTAAACTCTAGAAGTAACAGGTGTATAACTTAATTCATATATTCATAACAAATTATAACTGAGTTTTCCTTTTACCGTAATAATGCTTTTTCCTGCAGGCTTTCCTTTCTTCAACATTAAAGGCTGAACAAGTATTTTACTTGATACAATCTAGAAGATAAATTGCATACATTATTCAAATTATAAAGAAAAAATATGAAAATGTGTCTTATCTTTATTTATATTGTAAAAGTCTGAACTTCATTAATCTTTCCCAGTAAAAGATTATTAATTACTGCATGGTTATTTTATAAGAAAGCAGTTCTTGGGGAGCCTGGTAGGACGATTTTTAATCAGCATGGATTCTCAAACTATGGGTTTAGATGTCCATGAGATATGAATAATTTAGAAGGACAATTTTGTGGATTTTTTGAGATCAACCATTTTTACTGATAAAATTACTGTTATTTATTACTGTTACTTATAAATGCAATCATCCAAGTGAAATAGAGAAATAATTGGCTGTAATTATTTTAAGGATTCTGTCAGATAGCATCCAAGAAATACAGGAAGTCCTTCTTCCTCTCAACAAGAATAACAAAACAGAAGAAAAAAAACCCAGTAAGTCGTTATCTCTTTTCTTAACTTAAAGCTTCTGTATATTAGTATCTCCTTTTATTTACCAACAACAACAAAAAGAATAAATCTAAACTTTTACTTAACATTTTATACAGTAGTGATCATAGTTGTTTACAGTACCTGACCCAGAGTACATTCAGCTCCTCCAAGGTAATCATCATCACTTAAGTCATATGACTTATTATCAATATCATATATACCAAATTTCACCTTCTGAACTTTCTCAAAGTAATAATCAATTAGCAGCTTTTTTGAAAATTGTGGATTCTGGCAATTCTTTATTTTTTCAGTTCGATTCAACTACGACAACAAAAAAGAAAAAGAGCTGCTTAACACACAATGCAGTGTGAACAAAATAGATTCATATATAGCAAATGAAACAAGCAATATGTTCAAAAGTTATGATATTTATGTAGTTACTTATTAGGCTTTTATATTAAAGAAACCAAAATATATTTACAATCCCCAGGCATGTGACAACTTTTGAGCACCCTTAACATTTTGAAATTGAAAGTTAAAAAGTTTGACACGCCCTAATATAGCATTACCCTGGGCTTCATTTCACTTGGGGAGATCAGTAGTGTGAGGCAAGTTGATATCCAAGGAAGCTTGTCTTTTTTTTTTTTCCTAAGCAAAAATGTTCAGAAAAACATAATATTCTTTTTCTATACATAGTTAGAAAGCATACTTCACTAGTAACAATGAATATTGTGGATTTTTCTACACCACTCACCTCCAAACTTTTAATCTATTTCCATTTTAACTGAAAACAGGATTTTATTTAATCAAATTAACAATATTATGTGTAACTATATTGGTCCATTATAAAAAATATGCTATGGAACAGAAGTACTTTGAATAGGACCAACTTTATGACTGAACAAAATGCTGAGTTTTCCTATTCTATTTCAAGATAAAAAAGTAAAAAAGTCCCTGCAGATTTTACTCCGCTAGTCAATACTGACTAGAAGGGAAGTGCTCATCTCTGTTTCAAAGTATTGAGCTAGCATTGTCTGAAGACATTTCCGTGGCCAGCATGTCGTCACAAAATGCTGTTACCTTCCTATTGAAGTGGTACCTATTTATCTACTCACATTTGCATGCTTTCAAACTGCTACATTGGCAGGAGTTGGGGTGAGGATGGGAGCTCACTCCATCACATGGCGCTTGGGTCTCAAACATGGGCTACTGGCATTCCAACTGACAAGCCCAGTGTTTTAACTGCTAAACCACCATGCTGCCCCATTCTATTTCAAACAACATATTAAATAAACCACATATTCATATGTATATGAATGAAAATGAAAAAGAAAAAAAAACATAGTCTTTGAGATATTGTGTCCAGTATTTTTCTATGTAATGCTGAGAAAGGTAAAAGGAAAGCAAAAAAGAATACAATCAGCAGCAAGGTGAATGGATTCTATTAAAACTAACTTTTCATATTGGAGAAGGTTTGTCTATGTAATTGCTAAAAATAAAGTTCTTGCAACATGCTATATCCAAACGCTGCTTCAAATAATTGGAAGGAAAAAATAAAATGCAATAATAATACTTTAAATATTTAAAAAATGTATATTATCTGCAGACAGATATGTAGGGAATCCAAAAAATTGAGTAAGAGTTCCTTTCTCACAGTCTATTTCTTTTTCCCATCTCAGATAATAGATAACAGATAATCCGGTTTGTCGGCTTCGCGAGCGGCAGGGATTTGCGACTCTGAGCGATCCCTGCCGCGCTAGCCGCTTTTGGTGCTCCGATCCGGATGGGTCCGGAGCTAGGCTACCCTGCAGGGGTAGCTGAAGATAGGGGGGATCCGGAGAGGGGTTTGGGGGTGTTGCAGACCCCCTCCCCGGCCGGCAGAACCCCCTTTTCCCAAGACGATGCAGCGGCGGTCCGCAATGGCCGCCACAAAGAAGCCGGCAGCTGGGCAAGTATGCGCAGGAGGAAGAGGAGAAAGCTTTTGAGAGTGAAAGTTTTCTTGGTTGATCCAGGACTCTAAGATACATTTAATATAATTCCTGGAAATGATGGCTTTTTGGATGATTCTTTCCACAAGAGAAAATAAGCGGCAATTTTGAGGTGCTGAAAGGAAAGTTTATTCTCCCTCCCGACGGAATTAATAAGTGGATATTGAGAAACCTGTTTTTTTCAGGTAAAACTAGCTTTATGGGATAAGTCGGAAGGGAGAGGACAAAAAATATATTCATCTGGTTTGATTTTGTTGGAGGAGATGCCTTAAGGATTTGAAGACAGAAATATAACTCCAATAAGGCTTCAAAATATAGATTTGGACTTTCTTTTTTCTTTTGTCTGATACTACCCCTGGAAGAGAAAGGGAGAATTTTGTCTTGGCTTGGATTGATTGAGGATTGTGGATTTTGGGATTGTTTTACCTTTTGTTTGGAATATCTTGGTTGGTGTAAGAAGAAAGAGGGAAAAAAGAAAAGAAAAGATCTATGATGGCTTTTTCTTTTGAGGAACTGAGGGAAGAATATGAGCAAACAAAAGCAGCCGGTAAAGATGGTATGGAAAAAGCCTTCCTATTTTTAGAAAAGGCGCTGGTTAACTATCAACAAACAATACAACAGATGGAGGCAGAAGAACAACAAGAAGAAGAAGACGAAGACGCCATCTTTAATGAATTCCAAAATTTAACTAAGAAAGAAGGAAGGAAGAAAGCGAGGAAAATGAAGGACTTAAGATCTAAAAAAACATTTAAGAAAGAGAAAAATAAGATGCAAAATAAATATAATGATAGTAAACAAAAGAAAAAGGGAACACAACAGAGAAGGGATGCCAGCAAGGCAGAGGCTAGAAGAAGGGGGGGTAGGAGGATTTGGTGGGGGAAGAAAGAAAGGGGAAAGGCGGAGAAAAGCCACAATGTTTTGAAATTAGATGCGAAAAGAGGAATTTTTTTTAGGGACAAAGGGTAAAGTACAATTTCTTTAAAAAAGATTTTGCAAGGTACATAAGATGGTATTGTAACATCTGTATTAGAAATAGAAAATTAGAATGGCTTAAGAGTTAATAAGAAATTAAAATGTTGAAATGTTTAATAATGATTGATTTTAAAATGTAATAAAATATTAAAGGGAAAGGCAATGGGAATGTTATAAGATTTAATATTTAGATTTATTATTTAACTATGTATTTAATCATTTTGGATTTATTACTCTGTTTTTATTGTTATTAAGAGAAAAAAATTGGTAGATAGAATGTACCAAGCAGAATCAGATTGGGTATTAGGTGTTATTTTAAATGTTAATCTAATTAATTTAGGGGGAGGATAGAAAGGCATCATACTCTGATTAGTGATTTCAGGAGAAATTCTTTTTTTTTTTTTTCATTATAAGGAATGAGATAGAGGGATAATAAAGAATGGGCAAAAGATACAAATATAATGATTTAAATTAAGATGGATTAAATAAGATAGAATTATGAAGAGTGAAATGTGTGGAGAAGTTTATATAGAAGATATAGAATGATAAACAAAATAGGTAATGATATGTAAGATGAGCATGAATATAATTGAAGCCCATATAAAGAGAGGTACCTGGGGCCAAGTTACTTTCCTAAAATAATTTTTATATGTTTGTTTGTTGTGTGTTTATGTTTTTGAGAGTATTAATAAAACCTTGTAGAAATACAGAATGAGAATAATGGTAATCAAGTCAGAAAGAAATAGATGAAATAATAATAGTGAAATTGAATAAGAGTAAAGAGAAGTAAAGAGAAATTGGATAAGAGGTATTTTTATGCTCATATGGAAATGGCTTAAAATAGAATTGTTTTGTATAAAATAAGGTTTTATCTGACTTGTAAAATTTATAATGGAAAAAGGTTCAAATATGTAATGGTTGATGATGATTTGTTTGTCTTTGAAATTAATAAAATTTGCTTAAAAAAAAAAAGAGTTGGAAGGGACCTTGTAGGTCATCTAGTCCAACCCCCCCCAAGCGGGAGACTCTACACCAGGGATCCCCAACCTTTTCGACGCCGCGGCCCGGTTCCGACATCAGCTGGGCGCCGCGGCCCGGTACCGGCGTCAACTGGGCGCCGCCATCTTTTTATGACGAAAAGGCGCTTCCGGTGAGCTTTCTACCCGGAAAAGCTCACCAGAAGCGCTTTTTTACCAAAAAAAAGATGGCGGCGCCCAGCAACCAGCGGCCCGGTAAGGCTTGTTCCGCGGCCCGGTACCGGTCCACGGACCGGCGGTTGGGGACCCCTGCTCTACACCATTTCTCACAAATGGCAATCTAATCTCTTCTTGAAAGTCTCAAGTGATCTCAAACTATTCAATAACAAGAAGCAAAATTATTTAACAATAAATATATTTTAAAATAGAAAGGAATATGCTAAATAACTAAACATTTAATGTACTAATAAAACTCATTTTGGGATCATTTAATTGTGTTTATGATTGTTTATGGGGTGTTATTAAATTTAATGCATTTACCATCAAATTTATCAAAAATAATTCCTTGGAATTGTTTCCACAGAAGTCAATTTAATCATACTTAAAACCAATCTCTATTAAAAGGCTTTTCCTACATCTGATAAATTTATTGTCATCAAAAATTCCTTACTTCAGTCCACTGGTCGCCACCAACATTCTGAAGCAAGACACACAGAGGATCAGATTTTGAGCCAACATCTTTATCAATCAGGCTGTCACAGGATATGGACAGTTCCACCTTGGTCACGCACTGAGCCATCTATACACAGATTAAAAACAAAACAAAAAAAAAAAAATTAAATGATAAATTCAATGTACAATGCATATGGAATCTGGATTGATTTATATATCAATGTATTTGTTGATAGTGTTCTTTATTAGTTCTGTATTGGTTTCTTATTGTTGCTATTTTTTTGGCATTTAAACCAATCAAAGAATGGAGCACATGTTAACAAAGCTGTATGAATTTAGCTGAATACCAATCCATATGTATAGCCAAGTCTTTTTCATCAAAACATATTTATAGTATTATGAAAATAACCATACAGCAACCATATTTAGCAAAATAAATATGTATTTAAACAGGCAGATACCTAATCTGTTGTTTAACATTGTTTTCATATTTTCAATACCTTAAAACAATACAAAACGGTAGATTCCACTTATGTTTTTTCTTTCTTAAAAGTTATAGAAACAGATAAAAGTTCAGAACCTAACTCCTAAACTTTTCTTCCTAATGTAAATAATCTCAAAAGCAAAAAAGGACTAAATGATAGCAACCACATCAGCAGTCCCGTGTAACACCAAAAGAAAAAAAAATCATTGCTGCAGAGTGCCAAATGTATAATCATATCAACAATGAATGAAATGCTATAATCTATTCAGTTTCTGTTGTTACAGTTCTGTCACTCGACTCCCAGATTCTCAAAATACTGATACTACATCAGTTTCAGACACATTAGACCGGGTATACCAATATAAAGCAGTCTGCCTTTTGAATACACGGACACATAAAATATAAATGCAAGTATAGTCTGGCTACATTGAGTCCTAAATCTGAACAACCACAGAAAGCACAATATGAAACAGTTTCTTCATACTAAAAAAATAGAAATTTCAACTATTCAAATATTAATATACAGAAATATTTTTTCAGCTTTTTCAGACAACAGTAGACTCCAAATAAAAACTATGTAACACATCATCACACATTTGTGACATTTTAATAGTTTTTTACAATAACCTTATATTGATGAATAACTGAAAAAGGGTGTTGGTACTTACCTGATACGCCCGTTCTCTGTAAGCTGTGAAGAGCATCCAGAATTGGGAGGTGCTTCAGTCTCTTCTGGAAAGGCTGGGCTTAAAACTCCGGGACGCTCCTCCCCCTCCACGGGACTCCTCCTCAGCGTCCCCCAGTTTTGCGAAGACTGAGTGCCAAGTCCGGAACTCATCACCTAATCTAGATCCCTGACTGGAACGGAACCCCACCAGACGGAAAGAAATGGGTGGGGCTGGATGCTCTTCACAGCTCACAGAGAATGGGCGTATTAGGTAAGTACCAACGCCCTTTCTCCCATGAGCTGTTCAGAGCATCCAGAATTGGGACATACCAAAGCTTGGCCTGTCCTTAGGGAGGGACTCCGTCTGGATCGAAATCAACTCCTAAACTCTGTGGGCCCTCTGCAGGACTCTTCTGCCAAATGAAGCATCCGCTGAGGCATAGGCCTCAATTTAATAATTTCTGACAAAGGGAGATGGTGAAGCCCAAGCTGCCGCTCTGCAAATTTCGTCTATGGAGGCCTGTGTGGCCCATGCTGCTGACATTGCCACACTCTTTGTTGAGTGGGCTGTAATGCCCTTAGGAACTGAGATGGACTGGCATTCGTAACTTTTAGCCATGGTGGCTCTCCACCATCTACCGATGGTCGTGGACAACACCTTTTGTCCTAAAGTGGATGGGTTGAAGGATAGAAATAGAGCCTCAGATTTTCGAAATGCCGCTGTGCGGTCTAGATAGATGCTTAAGGCCCTTTGCACGTCAAGTTTATGCCATTGATGTTCCAGCCTATGAGATGGTTTCGGACAGAAATTTGGAAGGACCAACTCCTGCGCTCTGTGGAAGGTTGAATTTACTTTAGGAGTGAACGATGGATCCAAACGGAGAATCACTCTGTCCGCATGAAACATGCACAGGTCCTTACGCATTGACAATGCCGCCAATTTGGGAATTCTTCTAGCTGATGTGATTGCAATTAGGCAGGCCACCTTATATGTCAGGAATTTAAGACTAGTGGTCCTTAGAGGTTCAAACTGACCAGTTGTAAGTGCGGTTAACACCTTGTTGAGATCCCAGGTGGGATAGTGGTGAATTACAGGAGGTCGTAAGTTTGCAGCACCCTTGAGAAAACTGCAGATATGTGGATGGTGTGCTATGGAATGGAGGTCACCCCAGGTTATCACCGAGGCTAAAGCCGCCACCTCTCTACGTAACGTATTTGGAGATAGGCCCTGTTCAACCCCTCCTGTAAAAAAAAAATTGTCCTATTGATGGAGCAGTTGGGCCGATCTTAGACCCCTGGCACCAGCGACAAAAAGGCTGACCACGTGGCCTCGTATACACGATTTGTTGAGGCCCGTCTGGATGCTTGAATAGTGGCAAAAGCATCCTCTGAAATTTGTTGGGCCCTTAAATGGCTCCGCTCAACCTCCATATGGCTAGACTGAGCCATTGAGAGTTTGGGTGAAGTATTGGCCCTTGGGAGAGGGAAACATTCGACGGTAGAATTTTCCAAGGTTGTTCTCTTGACAGCTCCTGTAAATCTGTGAACCACGTTCGCCTGGGCCAGTAAGGGGCGACCAATATCAATTCCGCTCGTTCCTCCAATAACTTCTGGATCAACCTGGGTATTACTGGCAGTGGAGGAAATGAATATAGAAGCGGGGGGGGGCCACTGACATCGCAGGGCATTGATGGCCTCCGCCCCCCGAGTCGGATATCTGGAGATATAGCGGGGCAATTGGGCGTTGAGAGGAGAGGCAAATAGATCGATCACCAGTTGCCCAAACCTCCGCACTGCTTCCTGGAAGACAGACGGGTGTATGAGTCACTCTACCTGATCTATCATGGCCCTGCTGAGCCAGTCTGCTTGTGTGCTTAATGCCCCTGCTATGAGTTTTGCCTTGAGCGAAGACAGATTGGCCTTGGCCCATTTGAACAACTTGATCGTCTCCAGCATCAGAAGTTTGGAATGAGTACTCCCCTGTCTGTTTACGTGGGCCTTGGTTGTGGTATTGTCTGTCAAGACCAGAACGTGGCGTGAATGGAAAAGGGGTAGAAAACTGCGTAAGGCCAGGTGAACTGCTCGCAGTCCCAACAGGTTAATGCTTTGTGATAATTCAGAAATAGTCCAAATTCCTTGTGCAGTGTGGGATTGGAATTGAGCTCCCCATCCTACCAGGCTGGCATCGGTTGTGATCGTTACCCTGCAAGGTTCCTTGAAAGGACACCCCGTTTATCATTTTTTTCGACCACCAGCAGAGCGATCGGAGAACGTTGTGCGGTACCTTTATCTGGACGTTGGAGGTGGCTCTTCTGGATCTCTGGAAAGGTAGCAGGAACCATTGCAGCTGTCTAGAATGGAATCGAGCCCAAGGCACAATGGAAATACAAGAAATCAGTTTCCCTAACAGTTGAGACAGCAATGCCAGGGAAACCCTCTTTAAGGCCCTGATCTCTTTGTCCAAAGACTGAATACTGTTTAACCTGTCCTGAGAGAAAAAGACCTTGCCCTCCATGGTATCTATCACTGCCCCCAAATGAACTAGCCTAGTTGAGGAGATCAAGTGGCTTTTATCCCAATTTATGGAAAAGCCATGACCCTGAAGGGTCTCCAGAGTAAACTTGGTATCCAATTTTGCTTGATGCCTGGAAGATGACAAAATTAAAATATCATCCAGATAACATTGTAAGCAGACAGATTTGATCCTGAGCGAGGCAGCCAATGCCACGAGGACCTTAGTAAAAATCCTAGGGGCTGAAGCCAGACCGAATGGCAAGGCGATATATTCATAGTGCCGATCACAATAGCCAAATCTAAGATATCTGTAGTGGGCAGGTCTGATTGGTATTGTAGATAAGCCTCTGTGAGATCTATAGAGGTCATGATATCGTTCTCTCTGATACTAATCAGAATGGACTGGAGACTAGTATCTTGAATTTTCGATAAACCAATGATTTGTTCAAACGCTTGAGGTCCAGAATTGCCCTCCAGCCCCCCGAACTCTTCGGGACCACAAACAATAGAGAGTAACAGCCTTGACCCCGCTTGTTCAGATGGGACCTCTCTAATAGCTCAAATATGCAGAAGATGATTGATAGCCTCCTGCATCAACGCCCTCTTAATGGGATCCATGGACATAGGGCTCCTAATGAAAAAGTTCGGGGGGGAGGATTGAAACTCCAGCGCCAAGCCAAACCTAATAGTGTCCTTGACCCACACATCAGAGGTGGAGCTGTCCCATTGATCGACAAACAGTTTTAACCACCCTCCAATGGGAACTGCTGTCAAGGGCTCACTTGGGGCGACGAAAAAATTGGCCTCTAGTGCCTGTGGGGTTCCTACTATTTTGGCCTCCCCGCTGACCTCTATCGGAAGATTCAGGCCTATCCTGTCTGAGGGCCTGTAGCCTGATGTTCTCTGAGATCTGGGAACGTAGGGGCCCTGATAGTAGGACCGAAAGGAACCCCTTCAAAACGACTGGGGCATTCTGTTTTCAGACCTACGAAAAAGAGGGGGAAGTACTTTTTTCTTGTTTCTATTTTCTATAAGGAGGGGCTCCAAGACACTGCCCAATAATTTACCCCCCGAAATTGGGGCTGATGCCAACTTGCATTTATGCTTGGTATCCGCCTGCCAATGTCTGAGCCATAGCAGTCTCCGTGCTGATACGTGAGATGCTATGGCCCTAGACGAGAATTTGACTGCATTAAATGTGGCGTCAGCAGAGAACTCTGCGGCTGCCATAATTTTAGCTATGTCCTGGTGAGCAATGACATTTGACGCAGGCAATATATCCCTCAGGTGGGAGAGCCATCGGAGGGAGGACCGTGTAAAAAAGAACGTAGCAGTAGCTGCCTTAATGGCCCAGGCGTCAGAAATGTGCACCCTACAGAGTGCTAGCTCTGCTCTCTTTTCTTCCGGTCTCAGGGCTTGCTTGGCCTCGTTAGGGAAAGTGGAAGAAGAGGCCTAGTTTAGC